ACCTTAATGTAATTTTATTGTCAGCATACATGCAGGCAAATGCCACGTAATCCAAGAAAAATATATTAGTGATAGAAGATTGAAAGAGACATTGCAAATTGCTTATTACAAGAATTCAATTAAAGAAGTAAAGGACTTAAAGTTGATTGATTTTGAATCAAAATGTAATTTTTTCGCTGATGTGGTGTAGTTTATATTAAAAAGGAAAACATATATGTTTGTTATTCACTACTCTTTTTGGTATATTTGATGGTGAATTATATAATAAAAAAATAATTATCTCCTTCCTAAATGCTTGTAACTTTCAAAGAGGACATTGGTATTGAGTACTTTTTGTAGCAAAATAAGTGTGCTTTTGGGTATTTTCACAGCGGTCATACATGACAATTACATGCATACACTTATAAAGGCTTTTACAATATATGTTTTTAAATTGAGAAACATAGTAAGAGTTGACATACAGACCAAATTTATAAAATGAGCATCTAACTCAATATTAAATGGAATAATTCATCTTATATTTAAATAATATATATTTCTTATTATATTTTGATATGAAATTTTCTTATTTATTAACAAGCTAGCAATTACATGTACCTGACCCATGCTTGATTGAGAATGATTTGAGACAATGAGGTACTCGAAACAAAAGGTATTCCTAAATGTTTAGAACATGTTATATGTTTTGAGACAGAACCATGAGTAAGATCCAGAAATGAAGACTTAAAGAGGCCATGTTGAGTTGAAGCAAGAAGGGCCACCATATCCTCCTTCTCTGATCAATCTTTCCAGCTCTTTTCCCTCCTGTTCTTTTACCCTCTGCAATATGAATTGGGACATTCAACAATGTAAATTCAACAAAAGCAAATTTCAAAGAATATGATTGGCTTTTGGCTTTTTATAGAACTTTCTAGAAAATCACCTGCATTGTTTCTAAACCATCTGTTTCTGAACTGAAGTTAGACAATCTGAATGCTGCAGTGAGCTCCTTAGAAAGAAACTGAAAATTTACAAAAAAAAAAAAAAAAAAAAAAAAGGGGTTTAGACTATTCATGTTCTTTTCTTCATTTTAAATTAAATAAGTTGTTCTTGTTTTCAACTGACCTCAACCTGATTCTGTAGGGACTTTACATAATTAATTATCTCTTCCAACATTACTGCCATACCCATAGTCTGTACATTACAAGACATGAAAAAGTTAGTTTCTCTCTTTTTTATTCCCCTAAATAAATGTAATTTTTTTTGTAACGTGGTTATGTAAACTAATTCTCCTGTCTCTACAAACCTCCTCATTCACAAGGCTTCTTTTCTTACAATTGAAAAAGATTACCTTATAGCATCCAGGGACAATATCTTGCAACAATTTTAATTTCTCATTGATTTTCCCTCTCCTAACCTGATTCACAACATCAACAATCATCATAGAGAAACCAAATAAAACAATTATGGAAGGAATCAGTTCCAATTTTCTTGGACACAAACTTTGATTCATTTTAGAGCTATTTGTTCAGAGAAATGTACCCTTTCTGCCAAACTGTGTCTATTGGTAGCTTGACCTCTTTTAGCTCTGACATGAACCACTTCCTTTGGTTCCTCTTCATTGCCTTTTACCCTCTTTCCTTTGCCAAAACCCTGCACCATCCAAAAAAAGGAAAAAAAAAAAAAAACAAAAAAAAAAAAAAAAAAAAAAACTATTTAAAAGTAAAAAATCTGTAATATTCTTGCATATATGAAAAGGACTAATCGAAACAAACCCAAAAGACAAAAAGTAACATAAAATGGGTTCAACAGAGAGCAAATGCTCACATTTCTTCTCTTGATAACTTGAGGAGATGAACTCCCGGAACTACTTTCTGAAAAATCCTTCGCTTTTCTCTTCTTGCTTCCAATAGATTCCACTTTGGCTGTGTCATTGGACTGAACAACTGGCCCTTCATTCTGGGTGCTAGAATGGATAATACCTTGAGAATTTTGTGTCCAAATTTCCGGAAAATCAGACTCTTGGTGGCTGAAGTAGCTGCCACTGGGGTAGAAATTTGGCATCGAACTCTGCAAATTCAAGGTTGGAACTTCCGGGGTGTTTTGGCTCGTCCCTACAAATTGGTTGATTGGTTCCATCATTGGGTCAATTCCTAAACAAGCTAAAGAAGAATGAAAGCTCAAATCTGCTATGAAATCACCCATTATAATATGTTTACTAGCTTCTGTTTAGATTTTGAAGTACTGGGTGTTTGGATAATGAGGGGGACTTGTATTTATAGTGTGAGATTTCATTGTAAATTTTTCTACATTTATTTTTTTATTTTATTTTAGTAACTTCAACGAGGCCACGTGGCTTTTCAAGCTTCTATGGTTTTGTTTCCTGGATGGACCCCATGTTCAGGGGATATCCTCAATAATGGTAAGGGCCCATGGCTTTTAGTCTTTTACCCCACAGCTACAGTATGAAAAGAAATAAAATAGCTTTAAAAAAAAACTAAAAATATAATATAAAA